CAAGGACACAATCAAACACAGTGTAACACAGTGAATCGTTTCATCCTTGTTTAACGTAAGCAAACAACAAGGACGTATGATTCACTGTGTTACACTGTGTCTGACTGTGTCCCTTGCTGGAAAGCACCCAACATCTCGGCGAAAGGCCCTTCGAACGACTCTTCACCGGGTACAACGGACTCGCAAACGCCCATGGAAGTTGACGTCGAACGGCAAGCTAAGAAACGCGCAAATCCATCTAGATTTGAGCTAACGGCCCCCACACTGAAAAGTTTGAGATCTGAACGGGCAAATACCACATCAAACGCCGACGTCCAAGACGGCTCGTCTCCCAGAAGCGCGTCTACCTTAGACCCTTCCGGTAACAGGTACGGATCGTCAGACTTTCCCCCCTTCATCGTGCACATGCAAGTCAAAGAGGACAACATCACGGAACCGGCTTACGAGGTGGTTATGAAAAAACATGTCTCTAAAATTATTGCAAAGGATATCAACAGCATGAAAAAGATCGGAAAAGGTAAAATTGCAATAGAGATGCGTACAGCTACGGCTGCTAACTCTCTAGTTGGGCACCCAGAACTAGCTAAACTAGGTTATACGGCATTCATCCCCTCGCATAAGGTTTTCCGTCAGGGAATCATCAGAGGAGTACCCACCTCTGTCTCGGATGCAGAGCTCAAATCAAATCTGCGATCCTCTGCCAAAATTATAGACTTTAAACGACTCAACCGTCGCATGACGAATAATGGTATTGTAGAATATACTCCTTCTACGACTATTAATATTAAGTTTGCAGGGCAAATTCTACTCAAGTACGTATCTTTGTATTTTGACATGCACAACGTATCGCCTTTCATCCCACGGGTTAAGACTTGTTTTTCGTGTTTCAGAATATAGGACATATTGGAAAGTTCTGTAAAAGTCGCCCTCGGTGCGGACTGTGTGGCAAGGACCCACACGGAGATAAAGATACTTGCGAACGCAATAATCTCCCCCCTCTGTGTATTAATTGCGCGGGCGATCACCCCTCTACTTCTTCTTCCTGCCCCCTCTTTATAAAACAAAAAGAAATCCATGCTCTGGCTGCCACAGACAACATATCATTATCAGAAGCCAGAAGAAGACTATATGGCGGTAACAGTTCACCCTCTCCTCTCTCTCCCTCTGATAATACTCCCTCCATGGAGAGGAATTTCCCTTTGCTACGCAGAGGAGATCGAGATAACAGCTCGGATCTAAGAGAACCCCTTAATTATAGCTATAATAAATTTGATCCCTTAGCCACTCAGGCAGACCATTTCCAGCACCGCCCAAAATACTCCCAGGTCGTCTCTGAAAATCCTACGGACAACAGAAATTCTCGCGGATCAGGCGCTTCGAGGATTTCTTCTGGTCAGAATCAGCTCAAACATACCATAGACTATTCAACGGTCAGACGCAATGCGCCTAAGGCTACCAGCCAGGATGATGGCCCTAGATTCCAAATTTTGAACGCACCGAATATAAGACTTCCATCATGTTCAGGTAACGGAATAGCATTTAGCAACAACAATGGCCTCACAGGGGATCGAATTAACGGCAATATCGAGCCATTCCCCAAGGGAGACATGAATGAGCCGATGTCTATGAATTACAGACAATTCCTTAATTTCGCTAAAATCATGTTTAATTACTTGCAAGACTTTATTGGGCCTCTTCCAGAACTTCCTCTTCCTGCTCAAGAATTCTCACAATCGGCTTACGCAGAACCCTTCAATCTCCAAATCGACCGTTTACATAACACACCTCCAGGGTTCAATCATTTCTATCACTAATACATCACTTAACACTCAATATGAATTCGTCTAGAATCTCTCAACGCAATATCACCGATTCTGTCATAACTTCTTGGAACTGCAGAGGTATAAAGAATAAACTTCCTGAGTTTCATTTTCCAGATAACAACTATGAAATCTGGTGTCTTCAAGAAACTAAGTTGGCCAAGGATGCCTACCTATTCTCTAACATGCATAACTTTATTAGAAAGGATATCGACACGCCGGGACAAAGCGGAATAGCTTTTGCCATCAAGAAATCTATATTCTATGAAACTCTAGATCTCTCTCTCCTTTTTCATCCTTCAGTGGAATTAATGGGTATTAACATAAAAATTTTGGATTCTACCCTCACTATCATCAACATCTACAGACATCCGGGCACCAATACCCCCCTATCATTTTTCCAACAACTCTTCAACTTTGCAACGTCCTGTAACAAGACTATAATCGTGGGTGATTTCAATGCCCACAACATTGACTGGGGTTGCACCTCCACGGATAGACCTGGAAGACTGTTGTCACAAGCTCTGGATCAATACAATCTTATCATCTGCAATGATTATAAACCCACTCTTCAAATGTCCAATAACGAGCATATATCTATTGTAGACCTGGTCATCGCTACGCCTTCTGCACGCACCCTCTTTGATTGCTCTACCGGAAAGGACACCCTCACTAGCGATCATTTTCCCATGTTAATTCGATTTATGTCCAAAATTAATCCTAAAAAGATATTCAAATACAAAATCAAACTCGACGCACAAGAAGTAAAAGACTTTCGCCACTCATTATATACTAATCCGCCGTCAACCAATTCACAAAACCTTCCAGACATACTCGATAGATATAAAAATCTGGTTGCCACTATCACTGAGACTTTATATTTTTTATTCTCACCAGGCTCTAGAACCCCGGCATCCAAATCGGCTAAAGAAAGGAACCTAGTCGCTCCTCCCTGGTGGACGCAAGAATGCCAAGATGCTGTTGAAAAACGCAGAGCAGCTAACATAAAATATTTTAAAACCTCCAGCTCTGAGAACTGGATAGCTTATAAAAAAGAGGTAACAGAATGCAGAAGAATCTTGAGGAAAACTAAAAAGCATAAATGGAGGGACTTTTGCAAGAGCTTCACCGGCAACACGCCTTCTACTCACCTCTGGAAGCTGGTCAAAGCCTTTAAGAATAGACGCCTCGCTCCTCCATTACAATCCACCGAGGAACTACAGAAGGCCCAATTGACGGCAATCAACAAACTATGCCCTCCTACCTGCAGTACTTTGAGCACTCCCCCAATCAACGAGATGCTTGCAGAGGACTCAAGACACCTTCAGGATGTTGCTTCTGATCTTGACAGGCCTATCACAATGAAAGAACTTCAACATGCCATCCAATCCACGAAGCGTACTTCAGCCCCTGGCTTAGACCAGATTGACTACGTGGTCATTCAAAACCTTCCTCAAGCTTACTTGAAAGAACTCCTCGCTATTTACAATGGCCTTTTTGAATCTGGAATTTTTCCGGAGGACTGGACGCGCGCCCTGGTCGTTCTTATTCCCAAGTCGGGAGGTAAAGGAGTCAGACCGATTTCGCTCCTTTCTTGCTTATACAAGATACTGGAAAAGATTATTTATTGGAGAATGAAATGGCTAGTGGAGTCTAGAGCCCTTCTCCCCACTAACCAACTTGGGTTTCGCCCCATGAGCTCCTGCATAGACAGCTTGGTCTCACTTACCAACTACATACAGAGTGGATTCCTAGACAAAGCAGTCACCCTCTGCGCTTTTCTCGACATTGAAGGGGCTTTTGACAATGTCATCCCCTCAATCCTAGTTGAAGGACTGCAGAAGCTGGGCATCCCTGCAAAAACGAGAAAATTCATTTCAAATCTTACTTTTGAGAGAAGCATCTTTTTTGTCTGCGAAGGAGAACTTCAGGGCCCCTTCACTTCCCTGAAGGGTACTCCTCAGGGATCTGCTCTTAGTCCTCTGCTTTTCAATCTGTACTGCGCTGATATTAACAGCTGTTTGCATGAGGATTCTATCCTACTACAGTATGCTGATGACATTGTCATTTTTAGTATAAGCCTTAACGAAGAGGAGGCACACCATCAATTCAAACCTCTCTGAACAACATATTTGCGTATCTAC